TGTCCCTGGCCAGATTTAATTCTATCAGGGCTTTAGCTTTCCTAACCTGATCCCTGGCTGCTCGGACAATTTCTCTGTATTCCTCCCAGGCCACCTGTCCTTGCTTCCACCCTCTGTAGGCTTCCTTTTTGTGTTTGAGTTTGTCCAGGAGCTCCTTGTTCATCCATGCAGGCCTGGATGAATATTTTCTTTTCATGTGTAGTTCCTAGACAGAGGTAGTCTCTGGGCTCTAGTACTAGAAGATACTTCTCAGTGCTCTCCCATTATCAAAGTTCCCCTAAAGTCCACAGAAAATATTTAACATCTACATAGTACTATAAATATGTACCATATTTAGAAGGATTAATTGATAGCAGGCTGTATTTGTGATCTTTAAGCAAACAAGCTTCAGAAGTGCAAAGAACACGAAGTATTGCTAATAAACAACCTAACAAGGAAAAATTAGAAGAACAAAGGCAGCGGCTTTCAGAAAGAATCTAGTGGAGTGGATGTTTGCCAACTTAAAAAATAAATAAAAAGGCGGGGGGGGCATCCCAATTGTAAGCAGCAAATTACAAGCACGAAGAGAAAGTAGCAAAAATAAACATCCTAGGACAAAAGAATGGAAACAATGTGAACAGTAATGAGCCTGAACTTAAAAGAGTGAAGATATGGGTGATTATGCAAGACCAAAAAAGAAAGGATTAAGATACAGAATCAAATGGTAAAGTCAATTAAGAGGTTCAATGAGGAAATGCTGTAGTCAAGTAACCAGAATTCAACAGAAACTTTTTGGATAGACTAATGGGGAAGAGAAAAGATGAGAATTGCAAAGCTAAATGCCACAGAAAACAGAGTGAGAAGTGGGAGACCCAGTTCTGGGACTCAGCATGCCGCTGACCTTGAGCAAGTCATAGGCTTGCACATTCACCGCAAGATCCTTTTGAGATCTGAGCATAAAATGTACTGTAAAGAACAAATAAGGAAAAACCCCTACCTTTCTAGTATTTTGAGGTAGAATTATACCATCATCCCAGAGTCTGGCAGAAGAGTAAAATGCACTGCTTTCTTCCTCTAGCCTGGAGAAGACAGAGTATTAAACAAGCTTAAAAGCACAAAAATGTAATAAAAACCATCAGGCCAGTAAAACAAAATCATAGATGAAAAAGGCATATACTTCAATCTCAAGTGAATGTGCAGTACTACTGTTAAAATTAATTAGAATCCAGCATGTAATACATAACAGATCTGATCATTCTGCAGTACAGACCATCCTCCACATTCAGAAGATTGTCATTGTTTAATATACAGCAGAATATCTTGATGTTGGGTTGTATGGTTTGGGGGTTGTTTTTTGGTGGTTTTTTTGTTGTTGTGGGGGTTTGGTTGGTCGGTTGGTTTTTTAAAAGTCAAACATTTGTGTTTCCTTGAGAAGACCCTAAGAGCAGACATGGAATTACATGGAAATTTAAAGTATTTTTCAGTAGATTCA